GCCCGGCGCTGCCGCCGACGCGCCGGAGGTGAAGCGAGGCGAGGAGAGACGAGGTGAGGCGAGGGAGGGAGGGGCGGAGGGGCGCCAGGCAGCGTGGGGATCGCGGCCGTCCGTGGGGCTGGCGGGACCCGGTCGAAACAGCCCCCGGGAAGGCTCCGAGGGAGCGGGCGGGCCGGGCCCAGCCGAGCCCCGGCAGCGCCGGTGCCGCGGGGCAGCGTCGTCCCGGCCCCGGCTGCAGCCGGTGCTCTCACCCTCGGCCCCTTTCTCAGCCAAGGGTGGCCGGGTCGGGCYGGGCCCCGCGCTGGGGACCCTGCAGGTGTGCGTCCCGCCACCTCCTTGTCCCCTCCGGTGTCACGGACTCGCGTGGGGAGCGCGGTGCGCKGCCCCGGCTCTGGCACTGCCGCGGAGCGCACGCCGTGGGCAGGAGTCCAATTCCTGCTCCACGAGGAACCCTTAGTCTGGGCATCCACACTCCCTTTGCTGGCTGGGACAGGGGCTCCTGGGGCCTRAAAGGCGGGGATGCAGTGTGTGTCTTGCTGCGTCCTCTTCTGAGTTACTTTCTTGCAAGTGTTGTGGCAAAAGTTCCTTTGAGATCACGCAGGTGTGATATGCTAGATGTGGAAAAGCAGACGGTGTATTTTCCTCTGTGAGCTCACCTTTTTATCATTCCGGGGTACTCACCTCTCATTTGTTTTATTTGCTAATTTCCCTAAGTGTCATTCTTAAACCCTATTAAGTAAGGAACGTCTTTMTGTCCCCTTGCCAGCCCAGCTGAGTTGATGAGTGTTTGCTGTGGTAAAAGTATGCCAGTAYTGCCATGGAATCAAACTCTTGACTTTCCTCAGGCCAGATCTATATTAAGGTTCATTAGTTTTAGCTCCGTTTAGCTCCAAAAATACCAGTTACTTACTTGGAACTTGAACATTTAATTACATCAGCAAGAGGAAGTGGGACAAGGYTATACTGCCAAGGGTCTGTTAGCAGCCAGTGCTGCTGGCACAGCTGGATAAGGTGTGTTGGGGGGCTCTTGCAGGTGATTGTGGTTGAACACTGTCACTCTGTTTTACTCCCAGCCGGCTCAGTGTCTCTCACTCCACCTCTAGGAAAATGGTCGTGGTGTCTGTGTGAAACCCTGCTCCGCTGTCCCCTCCTCCCACCCTTGCTGAGGCATTTGGTGATGGGCAGCTGGACAGGGGTTCTGGTGTGTGGCTGACGGGAGCAGGTGTGGCTCCTGTTGCTCTTGATGTAGAAGAAGACTAGCTCCTCTACTTAACTAGCAGGGGCATTTTTGAGTTGTTTTTGAAGCTAGTTCAAGCCTTAGTTACTGAGAGACTGAATGAACAGTAGGGTGATTTTTTTCAGGAGGGACTTAGTGCTCTAAAAAAAAAGAAAAGAACAGTACCGTTACTGTAGCAGTTAAAGAGCTGCTGTTATTTATGAGAATAATGTGTCTGTCACATCATAGGTGAAGTAACTCATCTCCCATCAGCAGCAGGGGAATTATGGACTACTCTCTCAAGTAGATATGTACTCAGTTCTTTCCTTAACATTTCACATTATCACAGCCACAGCTTTTGGTGCTGTAGGTTCATTAAGAGGCTCTGTATCAGGAGAAAGGAGTTCAACAGCAAAATTGTGGTCTCAGCTTCCAGACATGATGACTGCAAACGTCTGTGGAGCAACATACAGAAAACTGGTTCTGTGGTCAAATGTATTGCAGGCTCTGTGGTTGTKCAGGATTTGCCTGTGGCTATAATAAATACTTGGCATACCATGTAGATCTTGAGAGTAAGAGGTTTAAGAGTAAAAGTAAGAGGTTTTGCATACCTCTAATCTGCAATTGGAGATTTATCAAGATGTGTCTCAAAAAAACCCTCTAAAATTCCTCAATGAAGAGCTGCTGTGGAGAGAATGCTAAGTAGAGTCCAGTGTGCCACTTGCCATTTGTTTTGTTTGGGTCACTTATCATTCAATTGGTAATGCCTATCAGGAGAGGGTTTGGAAGTGCAATTGAATATTTGGTACCCTGTATTAAATTGAATCATTGTGTAGGAAAATACAGAGGTGTTGCAGTATGAGTTGGATGTATATGGTACTCTAATTTTCCAATACGTGTCTTAGTTCAGAACACTGAAGATAAATTATTCCTAACATATTAAATRCTGCATCAAAACACTTAATGCAATATAGTTATCCCATGTCTTGTTATGGAGCACATTACTGACAGCCAGAAAGGAGGTCATATATGCTTTTTAGCATTTATGGTGCTTGTGATGCAGAGTAGAGCTACTGTGGACATTACCTGCTATTCTACCACCTGCAGTTACCCAGTCCTGAGGTGCTCTGGTACACCTTACCATACATGTTCAGGAGTCTTGAACATTTGCAGCTGGAGCAGGACAAAGAGAAGGAGCTGGCAGGGGCATGGAATTTTCTTTGTCTCAGCTGCTGTGAGCCATGACATGGTTTGTTTGTGGCAGGGCAGCTGCTGCTGCTTCACATTCTTGGCTGTAGAGTCTGAAGTGTGTAAATGGTCTGATCCTGCTTTTGGTCTGGGCCCTGYGTGATCCTTACGTGGCAGGGAAGATAYGCTGTGCTATAACCSAGCCTGTGCTAATTTGGCTTTGAGRACCTTCTCCTAGGTAGACCAAGACMAACACAGTCCTTTCTCTGCCTTCTTGTTCAGCAAGGCTGCCACAGAAATGAAAGGTGGTGAAGGACCTGGCAGGCATTGCAGCAGTCCATGGCTGCCTCCACGCTGGACATTCTGCCCCCAAAGCTGCCCCCTGTCTCAGCTGATGATGTGATTGGCGAGACASAGACAGAGATTAGTGCAGTGTGGAAGCTCAGGTCCTTTTCTCATTTGGGAGTTGTGCTGCTGAGAAAAATGTGTGTAAAGTGCACATAGCTGCTCTGTGCCCTAGGAGCCTGGGCAAGAGTCTCGGTGTGGAGGTGTTCGTAGCTGCCTGTTTTAGCAGAGGGCTGCTGCATAAAGTTTTCAGGCAAAACAAAAAGCCCAATAATGTAGCATAATGTTCCCAGCTTCTCTCATGCTTGTGAAGTTCATTCTTTGTGAAGATCATTCTTTGTGAGGATCATTCTTTAGTCGAAGGAGGGTGGACCTAGTTCTCCTCTGCTGACAATAAGTTTTATGCTTTATTGACTTCAGGGGAGTTGCTTCTGAATTTATGCTGTTATGAATGCTGGATCAGGCCCAAGATCTTGGTTTTATCCTTGAACTTTTGGTTGCCTTTTGTAGATTTTATGAGCCTGCATATSTAGGACACACTATTTATTTTTTAAGTAAAATTGAACATTTTACAGGATGGCAAAAGTCATATTTCTGCCTTGAGATCAGTAGAGAGAAACTACACATAAAAGAAAACAAATTGTGGGGATTCAGTCACATTCTGTAAGTAGGTTCATTCTGGTGTTTTGGGAATGCTGATTAAAAATATTAACTCAGTTGAAAATTGTTTGCATTAATGCTGTACTGTTCCTTTTGGAGCTTGTAAGGGTTCTGCCATGAGCAGGAATATGGGAGAGGAATATGAAGATCTCACCATGGTAGAGTGAAAGTAGCAAAAGGAAATTACTGAAGTCCTACCAGTCCCCTGGCAGGAATAACAATATTTTGTGGTATGTAATTGTCATATACTATTTGGAATTAGTGAACCCGTTTGTGTTGGGTGTTATGTGAGAAGAGAGATAATGATGCTGCACCAGGGAGGATTCTGATCTGTGAAGCCTGTGGGTAAGAAGAGAGTAGGATGAGAAAAGGGAAGTGCATTATTCCTCCCAGTCTTGGAACAGGGTTTTCAAGACAGCCTTGTAAATGAGTGYTTCTTGGAATATGTCTTAATTTATAACTTGTCTTTGAAGAGTAAAAGCCCTGCTTTGCACATAAGCAGGTGTTGTCTTTCTGAGTTCTGAAAAGCCTAACAGGATTGTTTTGTATTATATTTAAAAATGAAAGGACAAATCTTTTGCCATAAGTGGCTGTTGCTCCATTGCAACCAGCAGAGCATTGCAGATAGACTCTGGTGAGAGAGATTAAGTCACCTCTCCAGCCTCATGTATACACACTTAGAGGTAGAAACAACTCTTTTCTGAGGGACTTTTCTCAAAGAAAACCCCAAAACTATTCTTTTTCTTCACCAGCTCCAGAATGTGAATGTTGTCTGGCCAGATGCCCAGGACTAAATACAGTCCTCTAAACAAGGTCTCACAAGTGGCTTGTACAGAAAAAGAAAAAARCCCACAATAGCCAGATACTTTTTTGACTTTTAAATGGTTCTTTTGCGCTTTTTTCTTTTGCATCAAAAATGATGCCTTTGGCTTCTACTTTGTATTTGCTGAATACAAATTGTGCTTTCCAGGAATTAACTCCAGGGCTCCTCAATGCTGACTTTGTTGAAACATACTTGCAACATGAAAATAATTCAATAATTCATGGTTTTGCTTTCATGCATGATGTGTATTACATATGCTGACAGTCCCTTCTKAACATGACTGTGGCTCTGTAGCCTTGTCTTCCTCTAAATTCTTTGCTTAATATTTTCTCCTAACAGATAATTATTTTTGAGCATATGCCAAGACATGTCTTTAATGCATTTGAGAGTGAATGTGTGGAAAGCGAGGGGAACMTTGATGACTCCGTGGTTCAGGTGAGGACTTGGAGCTGTAGAGCGCATGGGAATGGCAGWAGGCAGGTCTGAGTGAGTGCTCAGAGCAGCACAGGGAGCCAGTGCACAGAGAAATGCTGTTCACAAGTACACTCTTTTATCTTCCTGCCCTGCAGATGCCTGGTCAGGTGCTCAAGCCAAATGCTGTAACATGGGGGGCTTCTCCTGTGTAGAGCAGTGGACAGAATTCCCAGCTGTTCTGTTCCAGCCCAGCCTGTGTGCCTGAGCCACTATGGCAAGGTGCTGCTGTGTACTGCAGCTTTGTGCTGGTCCTGTAAGTGTGCCTTGTGATAATTTTAACTTGGGAATTAAAGAAGGCTTGTACTGAGGCCTGGGGATGCCTGCTGCCAGTTTTGGATCTGCTGTTATGGGAAACTGCTCACTGCCTTTTGCAAAGAAGTTAAGTTTTTAAACTGATTTTATTTTAATGCAGCCACAAACCAAAACCATAACCTTCACAAAAATAAACATGCATCCTTGTGCCAGTTGGGSCCTTGGCATGCTTTATGCTGCATAACTTGCTGAGACTGTAATTTCTTAGGAAAGCAGTTAGATATTGGCAACTATGAAATGTCAGCCCTCTGTTGTAATAAGCTATTTTAGCTACAGCTGGGGATTTAAAAAAGAATAATTTACTCACAGCATTCTTGGTAGTTAATACAAGAATAAAAATCAGACTTTGGACACAATGAATAGCTTGGGAGAAGGAAGCAGGATTTTTGTGGTGTGTTTGCTAAGGGCCACAACTGTCTGSGTGCATGACTGGGGACCTTTAGGGTGCTTTAGATTAAGTTGTGTATGTACCTGTTGCCACAGCATACCCCTACATTTTTACCTAGGTTTTACTAGATCTATCTAGAGACAGCTGTTAAAATTATGGTTGTTTTGGAAGTTTATAAGAATTCATTTTTGGGTGGTGTAAGTAGAAAATGTACTGGTAGCTTGAACTTTATTGACTTAAGTTATAGCTGCAGTATTGAAGTATTTCTCTGAATATATGTTAGAGCTAGAAGTTGCTGCTGAAATCTTTGTAGTAGCTGGAGCTTTTAATTAACTGGAATTTTAGAAAATGGGCTTTGAGGAAATAGGTAGAAAGGCTTAATTCTAGTTTGTATTGGTGTTCTTCATTTATGTAGTACATCCTCCTTTGCAAACTGTATTGCTTGGAATTTTTAGCAGAGAAAGAAATGAGTTAATCATCAACAAGCAGCTGTCTTTCCTTTGGAATAGTTCAATGTTTCTATTTAGTGGTTCCATAAAAGTTCTTGATTAATGTTTGTTGCAMTGATAGATGCACAGCTCCTCCGCTTTGGCAGAAATCCCTACAAAGATATTCTCAGCATCTGTTTTGCAGTATGTCCCTTTAAATGTTTAAAATTATTGCAGATTCTTTTCTAAAAGTTACGATTTGCCAAAGTAAATATTTGATTTGTTATAGTGCAGGTTCATTTTTTGATGTCTATATGAAAAATGTGATTTCATCCCTTGATACTTCATGAATGACTGGGCATATGTTAGCTATCACTTATGGTGATACACTGTGATAGCTGTGGTGTATTTCCATGTGGTTAACAGCAGCTCTGGAAGCCRGAGAAGTGTTTCAGCTGGATCCTGTGTGTTTTGCTTGAGTACACCTTGCTGGAGTGGTGTACTCTCACATACACAGCCTCTTGACAGACACATGGGACACCTTCCTGGGCTGCTAGTAGCCTTCTGTTTGCTGTGTCACAAAGAACTATTGCTTTTATTACAGCTGGAAGAGAGAGCTTTTTTTTTTTTTTTCTTTTTTAGTATGGCATCCTGAGAGCGATGTCTAAATTCAACCTTTTAATTAAGGTTTATTTCAGAACAAGGAGTGCATAATACTGTGAGAGGTCTGCTGATGGTCTGTGTGTTGCTTTTCATTGTTTTATGTGTCCTAAGAACATACAGTGGGTGAGAGTTGTCTTTCAGTAGTTACTATTAATATTCTAATCATGGCTAGAAGAATATTAGTTCTAATAATCTCAATAATGTTCCTGGCAAGCTTTTTGTTGCATCACTGAAGTACAGAACATAAAATCTAAGGAAGTCTTCAGGGTTAGGTGGATAATATGTTTAACTGAGGATTACTGGATTGAGACTCTAACTTGGAAGCAGTGATTTGAAGAAAGTAGTCTTAATATCAAGACATTCTTTCATAAGACCTTTTCCTTCACAAAGGCATGTGTTCATCAGTTTGGTTAAAAYGGCTGCTTGGAGGCAATGCACCRGTCATGATGAGAAGACTCCTTGGGTTTTTGTTTTTGGGCCTTCCAATTCCCACGTGCAGGTGGATCTTGTGTTCCCTGCAGAGTTGTGTCTGTGGGAAAATTTCATTTGCTGGCAGGGATGGGATTGTAATGCTGGTTACAGGCATCTGCCCTGTGTCGAGCAGAGCATGCCTTTGGGCCTAACAGAATGGCAAGACAGCCTTTATTTTGCTAGTGGAAGTCTTCATTTGGAACATTTTTCTGAAATCTAGTGCATTAGAAGAAATTTAAGAAAATGGATTGTAGCTCGTTGCCAGTAAGCTTTCCATCCAGCAAGGTGTTTACACTCTGTATAGCTAATTTTAGCTATGAATGGTCCATCAGTTTTTTTTCTGTTCATGCTTTTTCCAGTTGATGCATTTTGTTAAAATAGCACCAGTTTAGACCAACAGATCATGTTTAACTCTGAAAACTAGGTAAAGAKCCAGACAAAAATAAAACATCAGGCCTTGTCACTCATAGGTTATATACATGGTCTCCTTCACCTATAGTAAACCTTTTTTAGTCTGAATGTACAAACACCAAAGAAGAGCAGCTCATGTAAAGTTTTGGCAAAATTGATTGTGTATGATGCCTGCWGGGTGACTCTTTCAGCATTTTATGGAATCCTTTCCTTCTGTTCATCCACWGTCTAGTGGCTAGCACAGAAACCTGGTTGTCAGTTGAAAGGCTTTTGTCTCAAGCTGGCCASCTTTTAACTGAAAGCAGTATGGTTATTTGCTAGGCTATGGTCTTTTCCCAGCCTTTCAAATAGTCATTCACCCCAGCAAGGCCTAGGATCTTCCTTTCAGATCCACTTCAGCAAAGCACCTGTGCCATTGAGTCCTTGAGCCTGTGTTGCGAATGTGTAGGCTAACTCCARATTATAGGATGGTCATCACTTAAAGGTCATATATTCCAAAGCTGCATATAAATGTCTGGGGCAGTTGGCAAAATTGTGATTTCTTCCAGGAAGTTTCTTACATTGCAGCCTTGGTGGTCATGGAATGGCAAATTGAACTGTTACTTTTCCAGGCCTGAGTATGATAGTGTAATTTGTGTACAGGTGTGAAATGTGTAAGTGCAGTGTTTCTGAGTGAATTTACTGTGTGTTTTAAGAGATTGGAGAGAGGCGCTTTTGTGTGGCTAGGTGCTAAGAGGCATGACAGCTTTTTGAAGGTGCTGCTGGGCTTGGAATCCATTCCCAGTCAAGAGATKAACAAGCAGAAATTGCCAAAAGTTCACTGAACATGCAGGTTTCAAACAAGGAGCTCTTGCTGCAGAAATCTACAGTGCTTGTAGCACAGGGTAGCTGGTGTTTGCTGTACACAGAAGCTGTGGTAAGAAGCTTAGGCTAAAAAGTCATTGGCAGGATGGACAGAGCATGAAGAAGGAAGGGAGTTCCAGAGTGGAAAGTGATTTAAATGTTTTTAAAACTGGATTACAATCTGGGTCTCTTTGAATTATGCATTGCTGAGCACTAGGTTCCCCAGGCAAAAGAGGGGCCACTGCAGTTACGTTCTGCAGAATATAACTTTTATTTGAAGGGCAAAAGGGGAAAAAGTTATTCTAGCTGTTCAAGCCTAAGAATAAATGTGGGAGACATGAGCTAAGGGTGGTCAGACTTGCAGCTGCTGCTGTTAAACTTCAGGCTGTAAAGGTAAGTGAAGGAGCTTTGCTCCTGCTTGAACCCTCAGTGACATTAGGAAGCCCGGCTGAGTGTAACAAAACCCTATTTGTTGAAGGTGAAGGAGGGCATGGATGAGGGTACTGACATGCTTATGCTTGATTTCAAGGGATACTGGCATCAAATGCCAGCTTATTACTTGGGGAGCAGGAGGTGTTGGCTTCAGCCGGGTCTTTCTGGGCAGCTCCAGTTGTCCTGTGTGCAGACCTTGGGAGAAATAAGGGAATATACTTTAGTTTTGTCTTTAGGTGGAAGCTGATGCTTGCTCCTTGCTGGGCATCACTCATGTTCACCTTCTCCAGTAGGCACTGGAATAGGACTTTGCAAATAGAAAGAGACCCAGGACAGCAATCCTGACCACATGAGGTCATGGTCCACAAACTGTGGAAGTTGTTTTCTCCTTGATTTGCCTTTTGGTGCTATGGTTTTGGAACAAAGGGAGACTGACTGGGAACAAAAAGATTAATTTTAGAGCTGGATTGAGTTCCCCTAGCTCAGTCACAGCAGGTCAAGTTACTCGAGAGATTTGTGACTCCACAGGGACATGGGTTTGTGTTTGTGCAGGGGAGGGTATGTCATATCTGAGGTACACAAGACAATAATGGACTTGGTGTTTATTTTAAGAGTGGTTAAGATAGACTTGGAAGGGTTTTTTTCCATGTTGTTAAATTTATAGAAAGAAGCTGTATAAAAATAACTGGCACAAGATGTAGAAGCAATAAACTAATGCCGTGTTAAGTCTTGAAACTGTGGTATGTAACCTCAGAAATATTTTCACCTATTGGCAGCTTCCTCTTTATTATCTGCAGAATGAGAGTGATGGAATTTATTAGCTGTTAAACAATTTAATTCTTCATTTGTAAAAGGACCAAGTAAATGTGTATATCACTATGCGTAGTCCGAGCTCTCCCCATACACAATGATTGCCAATGTTTGTTGCTGGCAGTCATGGGAATCTTTTGGTACCACTGTGTCAGCAAGAATTAGACATAGGAAATAGCCTGTCATTTGACTGCTGCCTTACT